ATTCAGTTCTGTGATAAGACTCCGCCAGGCATACCTACCTCCGGGACATTGTCATTTTGAGAAATCTTGGAGTCCAATAACTGGTTTATTCGTATTTTGGTTAATGAGGTTTAATAAAATGTAATACTCTTATTTAGTCAAATAATGACGTCGTGAACAAAAGCCTTTCATCGTGAGGATTTGCGTATAGGTAGGCATTTAATCATATTATGGAAGAACTAGTCACAACCAGACCCATACCCTCATTATGACACGACATTTCCAATCATCATAAACGTTGCGTGATAGTCTTCCTATGGGCCCCGAGTCCTGTTGGGGTGGCTTCGTGTTTAAGATGACATGAGTCCCATGTAATTGCATAGGTAGAACGGCTTATCGATGACAGGAATTTTTGCTTGTTTTTGTCTCAATCCTAAATACTTGCATCTTTTCATCTTATACCTCTCATGTGACATCCGGAAATTGCACTGTCAAAGGAACCTTGACCCGAAGAATGTCCACTTGTTGAGTTCACGCGCCGCAATAATATTGTATGCCTGCCTTTGGCGGTGAAGAAACCAAGCATCATGGCATGCTGGATCTAATGAAGCGCCTAGCAATAGGTTCATATGCACGTCCGTTGCTTTGTACAGTGATACCCCGGCCGAAGCGACAAGAAAAATGGCATTCTAACTGCAAGTGGATCACTTTGAACAGTGAGACACTGAAGATAAGTCGTCATCGTCAAAATTAGCAAACACACACATCAAAAGCAAAAATTGCTTCCTCCCACAGTTTTCTCTGTTACATCGTAGCCTCTAGTAGGTAGCCCAGCTCAGCCCAGGCCAGTGACAGCCTGGGCCGTTTACTAGCTTCAACAGCGTGGCATAGTGTGGCTACCATCTCCAACAGTGACAAAAAATTCGAACGGTTTGCCTTTTCCAGCCCCGGGGGCGCCGCTTGTAACTTGGCCACTGCCGAGATGGGTGAGTAGGGCACGTGCCGTCCGTTCCTTATCACTGAACAGTGGGCTGGACTGCGACATCTGTTAGTGAAAGACCTCTTCGATACCCGGCAGCCTATCACTAGCAGCTTGCATGTACCCCACTTCCTCAAGGTGTCCATCAATTCTGGCAGGTTCACTCCACCAATCCCTCCCCCTCTACCATGACCAAATCAGCACAGTACGTACCCTTGACCTTAGGTCTACAGTGCAGCCAAGGCTAAGCAAAAAATATTCTATCACGACCGAAATTTCTCTTTCTTCCTTCTTCAACCACGAAACCAACCTTATTACTCAACCCCAAAACCCATAAAAGTCGAGTTAGTCCAGAGGTACGGTCTTCGTACTAGTTCTCTGTTTCTGCTCACTTCATTTCCACTCAGAATAAAAACACAAAAAAAAACTTGAAAAAACCCCCAAAAAACACAACCCACCAACACCTCTACTACCCCCTCACCTCATCTCACGACCTCTCTTCTCTCTTTGTCTCTCTCGCGACACCCACCGCCCGAGTGACTTTTCCTCCTTCGACGACTTCTTTCAACCCTGGCTTTGATTCTCTCGTAATCAAAGACTCTATAAATCGTCGCGCTGCATCGCTTTGTTCGTTGCTACGTCTTCTTTGTTCGCTCAAGGTCGAGTACCACGCGAACTTTCTCCACTGTCGGCTTCTTAAACAGGTATGCCTAGCCCTGCAATTCCTCTTCCTTTGTCTGCGACTCGATTCTCTCTCTCTCTCTCTCTCTCTCTCTCTCTCTCTCTTCTTATACCCAATATTCAAACTCACTATAATTGTCGAAGCGCTTGCTTGATTATTTGCTAACCTACTGCTCATTGCAGGTTTACTCAACCCTAGAAAACCGATATTCACAATGGCCGCCAACGCTGCTCCCGGCGCTGTTGACCAGCTCGCCAACGACCTCAACAACACCTCTCTCAACGGTGGTGATGCCAAGGCTCCTGCTGTCGACACCGGTGTCGCTGCCGCCGCTGACGATGCTGCTGCTCCTACCCCCACCTCCGCTGCTCCTCACCCCCAGAACTCTGCTTCTCTCTACGTCGGCGAGCTTGACCCCTCCGTCACTGAGGCTATGCTCTTCGAGCTCTTCTCCCAGATCGGTGCCGTCGCCTCTATCCGTGTCTGCCGTGACGCCGTCACCCGCCGCTCTCTTGGTTATGCCTATGTCAACTACAATGCCACTGCCGACGGCGAGAAGGCTCTTGAGGAGCTCAACTATACCCTGATCAAGGGTCGCCCCTGCCGCATCATGTGGTCTCAGCGTGACCCTGCTCTTCGCAAGAACGGCCAGGGCAATGTTTTCATCAAGAACCTTGATGTCGCTATTGACAACAAGGCTCTTCACGACACCTTCGCTGCCTTTGGTAACATTCTGAGCTGCAAGGTCGCCCAGGACGAGAATGGTAACTCCAAGGGCTATGGTTTCGTTCACTACGAGACCGATGAGGCTGCTTCCCAGGCTATCAAGCACGTCAACGGCATGCTTCTCAACGAGAAGAAGGTTTATGTCGGCCACCACATCCCCAAGAAGGACCGCCAGAGCAAGTTCGAGGAGATGAAGGCCAACTTCACTAACGTCTACGTCAAGAACATTGCTCCTGACGTTACTGAGGATGATTTTCGTGAGCTCTTTGAGAAGTTTGGTGATGTTACCTCTTCCTCCCTCGCCCGTGATCAGGAGGGCAAGAGCCGAGGTTTCGGCTTTGTCAACTTCACCACTCACGAGAGTGCCTCCAAGGCTGTTGACGACCTCAACGGCAAGGATTTCCATGGCCAGGATCTGTACGTTGGCCGCGCCCAGAAGAAGCACGAGCGCGAGGAGGAGCTCCGCAAGTCTTATGAGGCTGCTCGCCTGGAGAAGGCCAACAAGTACCAGGGCGTTAACCTCTACATCAAGAACCTCGATGACGATGTTGACGATGATAAGCTCCGCCAGATGTTCTCCGAGTTCGGTCCTATCACCTCCGCCAAGGTGATGCGTGAGACCCCCACTGAGGGTGACGAGGACAAGAAAGAGGAGACTCAGGATGACAAGGACAAGGAGAACAAGGAAGAAGCCAAGGAAGAGGCTAACGAGGAGACCAAGGAGGGCGAGGAGGCTAAAGATGATAAGAAGACTGAGAAGAAGTCGGACAAGAAGCTCGGTAAGAGCAAGGGCTTCGGATTCGTCTGCTTCAGCAACCCCGACGATGCTACCAAGGCTGTCGCTGAGATGAACCAGCGTATGATTAACAACAAGCCTCTGTACGTCGCTCTGGCCCAGCGCAAGGATGTTCGAAAGAGCCAGCTTGAGGCTAGCATCCAAGCTCGCAACCAACTCCGTATGCAGCAGGCCGCCGCCGCCGCCGGTATGCCCCAGCAGTACATGCAACCCCCTGTTTACTTTGCTCCTGGCCAGCAGCCCGGCTTCATGCCTCAGGGCGGTCGTGGTGTTCCTTTCCCTCAACCTGGCATGGGAATGCCCGGTGTTCAGGGTGGTCGCCCCGGTCAGTTCCCTGGTTACCCCCAGCAGGGTGGCCGTGGTGGGGTTCCTCAGCAGATGCCTCCCAACATGTACGGCTTGCCTGGCCAGTTCCCTCCCCAGTTCGGACAGCCTGGTACCCCTCAGTTCATGGCTGCTATGCAGGCCCAGCAAGCCGCTCTTGGTGGCCGTGGCGCTCCTCAGGGCGGCCGTGGTGGTCCTCAGAACATGCCCGGTGGTCCTCCCATGGCTGGCGGTATGGCTGGTTTCCCTCCTAACAACCGCCAGCAGGGTGGCCGAGGTGGACCTGGACGTAACGGCAACGCACCTCAAGGTGGTCGTGGTGCCGATGGTGCCGGCCCTAATGTGCTCCAGCAGCAGCTTGCTGCTGCTCCTCCCGCCCAGCAGAAGCAGATCCTCGGTGAGCTGATCTTCCCCAAGATCCAAGCCATTAACGGTGAGCTTGCTGGCAAGATCACCGGTATGCTTCTAGAGATGGACAACGCTGAGCTTGTCAACCTGTAAGTTTAACTCCTTTCCCACAAACCATGATCAGGCTCTAACATTCATCACAGGATCGAGGACGATGCCGCTCTCAAGGCCAAGGTCGATGAGGCCCTGGCTGTCTATGACGAGTATGTCAAGGCCCAGGGCAGCGAGGGCGGTGAGCCCAAGAAGGAGGAAGAGACCAAGGCTTAAGCCATTTTCCAACTTCACCACAATTCTATCATTTTCTTTTTTTCATGGTTATCTGACTGGGCAACCCCCTCCAATGGAACGACGAATGTCTCTACGAGGCAATTTATGGAACAATCAGCAACGAAACATGCTTTACGACCTTGTGTTACCCAACCCGAGGGGGCGCATTATGTACAGATAGAATTGGTTGCTATTTCTTCTCAGGAAGGGAGATTTCAAAAGTTTGGGGATTTTACGGTGGCTGGCTCTCGTCGCGAACCGTCGCTTGCTCACAGCAACGGCGTCGGCGCTTTCGGGAGAACCCACCAGGACGGCGTTGACGGTTTTCTGACACTCTGGCTGTTGGCCTATACCCCCTACCAATGGTTCTTGTTTGCAGGCATGATCAACGCAGAGGTTTTATGCGGTAAGGGTTTCTAATGAAAGAGACATGTTTAAGTTACTCTTATGTGTGCGTCCCGCCAACGTGAGAAAGGAAATATTCTTTCGATGTGATGCCTCGTACATGTAAATATCGTGAAAATGCTAACTTGTAAATTGAAACTAAGAGGTATAAAGTAGAGGCTATCCTTTATGCAATGACCCATGTCAGTGTAGATTTACCGAACGCCCAAATAATATTCCTGCTCTGTACTCACAGAACAGTGAGATCCAAAAGTTTGTTGGACAATCATATTCCAGCAGCAGCATAATCCTGCCGGGGCAAGGTGTCTAGATCCCTCAAACCCAACGGTATGCAAGATACTCTTGATAAGTGACTGCATTCCAAAGTCGCAAGGGAAAACTAGTCCTAAAGAAATCCAAGATGCAGTTTGGGGTCTCAAAGAATTCGTGTATCCTTAGAGGGGATTTACGACAACAGTGCCAGGCCTGTCTTCGATTGCATACTTTTTGCTGGGTACGCTACCAAACAGAGTCTCCATGACTTTACCCTTCTGCTGTTTCCTGACATCACCGAGGTAATCGCTCACATCGCTGAGACCACGAATTTGATCCTCCAATGTGAGTGTCGTAGAGTTGACGCCGCGAACAAGAGGCGAGACGAGTTTGCTGCGAAGAGTTTCTAGAGACGCTTTTAAAGTTAAAAGTTTGCCGTTGTGTTCAACAAGAATGCCTTTATTGCGCACTGTCTTCTCCCGGACGTCGCGTAATAGCAGACGATTCTGTTCAAATTTACGTAATTCAGCCGCTCTTGTTCCAAGGAGCCGCGTCCAGAGGCTCGAAAGCATATCGGCATGAAGTTCTTCCTGAGCAGACGATTCGCGAACAACAGTGCGAGCAAGATTCAGGAAGTGATGATCCACAGCTTCGAAAAGGGCGAATAGGGTGACGCTATGTTGTAGCTCAGCTTGGATGGAGTCTTCAAGGACAGAAAGAAACTCGGTGAAGAGGAGCTGCACCATGCGTTGCTCCCTTTGCGGATTTGAGAGGCCAAATATGTGGCTGGTCAAGCGACCAAGAGTGGTAGGAGAGCCGGAGGCATCCTCAAGGACATGTGCTTGTGAGAGAAGATTGTGAATGTTGTCGTAGGCTGAGGAGATAGTTGAAGGGGAAGGGGATGATTTGAGGCGGTTGAGGTGCATTTTGGCCCAATCCATGACGTTGAGGATGCTGCGATATGTTAGATTGGCCCAGATCGTTCCATCTCACGACTTACCCATCAATGTCACCATCGACTCTAGCAAAGAATTTGGTCATCTCAATGGCCAACGTCTTCATAGTCTCACTGAGAGCATCTAGGTCTGCCACGATTCTAGGAGCATCGCGCATATCACTTGTACGTACACTCTCACCGAGATCCCAGACAGCAACGCTTGTCGCCTGTAGATCATGTACTTGGGAAACAGCATGCTCGGAGTAATATATGAGGGGTTCGAATGAGCGAGCTAGTCCTGCAACTTTCACAAGATCGCCAACAGGACGTGGGGCAGCGGGCTGTAAGAGAGATTTGAAGACAGAGACAGAGAAGAAGGCAATGATGATGGTGGCGAAAGTTGTTGACCATGTCCTAGTAAGAGCTTTGTAGTGATCACTAATGAAGTTGATAGCTGTCTCAATGGGTTCAGTGCGATGCTGAACTTCGGCACGGACGGCAAAGCGGATGTCTAACATGTATTAGATATGTATCTGGGATCTTGCCACAACTTCACCTACAGTTATCTGACGTCGCTTCGTGTAAGCTGAGCTCTCTTGAAGGGCTTGTCTTCTCGTGGAGCTGAAACTGGATTGTGGGATCATCCGTTTTGTCAGGGCTCATACTCCTGCCTTTGCCTGGACTCTGGCTCCCCCTGGGTAGCCTCGTCCGAATGGCTCTCTCCAGGACGCCATCGTCCTCACTGTCATCTAGCTCAGGGGAGCTCTCTCTGAGCGTGCTCATCCCTCGGTGCGTAAAGTCCTGCTGAGGAGCTCTCCAGAAGCCACTACTCCGGTCTCCGTTTCCCAGCCTTCGCCACGCCGGTGGAGAGTAACCACCCGCGGAAGCGGTCTCCGACTCCTCGAGATCCCCTTCTGTCATTGCTGCTTCGCTGCGATGAGCTGAGTGCTGTGGCAGTGATGGACTTGGTGGGAGATCGAAGTCCTGTAAGCTGGCGTCTAGACCTTCGAGGAGATCCATTGTCGGTAGATCTTTTTGATGATGATGAGTCCTGGTGCGAATCCCGACGACGACGATATTCTACTTCTTGAAACTCAAGTTGTTTCTGCTTCTCGAGGAGAAGTCGTTGTTGTTGAGCTAATTGTTGTTGTTGGAGGTAATGGCGGCGCTGCGCAAGGACGATATCCTGCCCAGAGATGACGAGTTGCTGCTGATCCTCGAATACAAGTCCAGTAGCGGCATATGGTGGCTCCGGTAGAGCCTTTTCAGGTTTGGCTGGATGCCTTTGACTGTCTGTTGAGTCTCCAAGTATTGGCCTTAATATTGAAGCCAGCGATGGCAAGGGTATGCCCAGATTAGGAAATCGGCAAGCCAAAAGACGGGGGATGTAAATAATGGCAAAGAGAAGAAGCAGAGCAACAGTGATAAGATACGTGCTTGGAGCAATAGTGATGCTGACGAGCGAGACGTTGTTGTTGACTGTGAAGAAGGAAGTCATAGAGACGACAGCTGAGTGATATACGGCTTTCTCTGCCACTGAATTGACTCGACTTGTCGTTGAATAAGATAATGGGAGGTGGGGTTATGACAAAACGGTTGTGAAGTCTAAGGTTAATGAGTATCGAGTGTTTGGTATGATATGGTATGCACAGAATGATGATGATGACGATGATGATGATTGGATGGATGGTTACTGTAGAGAGGAGATAGAAGGGGCAAATAGAAGCTCAGGAACGATATTCCAAACTTCCTTGTGCAAGGGTACCTAAGGTGATATTTGAGTCTATATGGATGGATAGAAGAAAGAAGGAAAGAAGGATGGGGCCGCAGGTGCCTTGACCGACAGAGCAGCCTGGGAATGTGGATGAGAAGGGGAAAGGAAGGATGAAAGTTCAAGAACAGGAAGGAAGGAAGTTAGACATGAAACACAAGTGGTTATTCAGTTACTACCTGACATTTACTAAGACAATGATTGATGTACATCACTAACAGCTCCAGATAAACCACCCTTGCCTTATGGAACCCATCACACATTCATTCACTCACTCACTCACTCTTGCCTTTACTCACACATTCATCCGCAACTTCCCCTCCAAGACCCAAAATCAACGAGGCTGGGCCCTCCTTCCCTCCCCCTAGACAACGCATAACATCCAATCAAGCCCCGCCAACCGTGCAGAACAAGACCGTTTCTCGAGCCCCCCCGCACTAGTCTTGTTTCGGAAGCACTTAACGCGCCCGAAGCTGAACACGCGACGGTCACATGGTGCTTTTTGTTTATTGACCCCGAGAGATAAGACTATTTATTCCCTTTATAAGGTGATCCACTACGCGAAACTGGGACGTATTCACGACTCTATAACGTGTCTGTTTTGGAGGCAAATTCCGTCCGCATTTATAGGGCTCGCGACTGTGTTGTTTTGGGGCACGAGGACCAATAACACCGCAATTATGACTCGACGCTCACGCTCTTGATACGCTGGCAACGCTTTGTTGTTGATTGTGGACCATTTGTTACAAAAGTGGACCTGGTCTGTGTCTCTGGCCTTGATGGAGGCCAAGATGCGATGGTGGATGAAGCGGGAGGGATGAGGCGATGAGGCCATGGTATCTACAGTGACGAAAGGCCCAGGATCACTACAAAGATGCCTGATGCTCAGCTCATAGTTTGCTATTCTCCTCAAAATTCAGGCTGCAGCGGTTTCTGGAGTTTATATAGCCATCATGCATATGAACTGTAGTCTATCCTCACTAACAACTACCGCCGTCCTTTTCTTCTGATATACAATCACCTCATGCTCATACAAAGCTCTGTCAGCCTAGGTATAGATACAGCCACCATGTGATCCAGCAGTTACCCCAGCTCCCATATTTATGCATAATTTCCAGCATCGTTCTCGACGTTGGGGTTCTTCTCTTCGATGGCCAACTCACAGCACAGCCGTCCCAGAAACTCCATCCTTCTCATTGACGCCTTGAGCCTCATACCCCAGCCGATGCACTCAATTACTGGCTGGGCACACTGAGTGAACAGCTCAATCACCGTTTCTGTCGCCATTGGCTTCTGATCGTTGAGGGCGTTCTGCAGGTTCAAGCCGTCTTCCACCTCTACAACCGAGGGCCTCTCTGTTCCCTTCCACGGAAGTGGAAATTCCTCACAGAGCATATCCACAGCCAACGACTCGGCGAGCTTGGCATCCCAAGTCTCTGAACCCGTGAGGTTTTTCCACGACTGGGCGAAACACACCGGAACACTGTTACTCCAGACTCGAGGGCCATTGTGGCGATTATGTACGTCGTACATGGCTGTGCCCTCTTCTATCAGACCCCACCATACGACGAGCTCGGTGTCTGTATCATCAGCTCCAAGGAATAAGACTCCATATATGGGGTTTTGTGTTGGTTTGTTGGCGAGCTTGCCCGCTACGATGTATCGCTGAGATCCGGTATAAGCCGCACGCTGCTTAAGCTCACGGTCTTTGAGAGTCATGTTGACCTTGAAGGGAAAGCTTCCTCGCAGACGAGCATCTGGCTCGATAGAATCCGACTCAAGCAGAATTGTCTCCGTCTTGAATTCAGGTTTGTATTCAATGGAACATATTGCTAAGGCTGTCAGTTCATTATCCACACGAAAACACAATAGTTGGCCATTCTCACCGTTCCTATCACCACCGGTATCCAAATACCCGGACTTATTCTGATCGTGTTCTATAACCATAATCACGCTTGTAGGATCTCGCCGAAAAGCACCTCCAGCATAAGGACTCTCACTGAGAATTATAGCTGGTCTGGAAAGAGTATCCGGAGACAGACTGCAGTCGAGGACGGCCAACCACCGATCGTTGGCTTCCTTGAGTTCTGTCTTGTCATGATTCCAACGCGTCAGTTTGCACGGACACTTCCACACGCGAAGGACCAGTCCTTGATCTGTCAACCTGACACTAAACAAGCCCGAGTCTTCTTGTCCTGCATATGTGCGGAGGTTAAAGTTGGCTGGGCTGTCAGCGAGGAAATGCATTCGGTGGGTATTCTCCTCAGGCTTTCGAGACAAGGGCCATCTCCAGACAAGTATAGACTGATCCTGCGACTTTTTGAGAACTTCTTCCTGCAATCTCAGAAAGGCCCTGGAGCCCTCGCCATATAATATGGGCATGTTGACTCCAAAAATTCCGAGCAAAGAGTACGCTACATCTTCAACTCGCGTCGTTTCCCTGTGGGCCATCCAGCCCATCCTTGTGGCCACGTTTTCACGCTGGAGCTTGACCGATATCTTGCGATCCTTTTTCCCTTCGGGCCTGACCAAAAACAATTCATCAATGTCTGTAATCTCCTTGATTGTAGAAGCCAAAGTATGTCGGTCGCCGACGGGAGTCCAATTGTGATCGAAGAATTCCACCTCATCAGGCGCGATCAGCTCCTGTAGTGTCCATCCACGCGTGAACCAACGACTCTGCTTCAGGCCAGACGTCAATCCGATGCCCACGGCGTGTAGAAAGACATCTGTGAGGTAGACGTAGCATATATCCGCGTTGTTGTACCAGCGAAACATAGAGTTGATGGCTTCTGAGAGCTCAGCGCTGCTGGACTTGTCGATGCAGCAAGTATCGATCCAGAGATGGTTGAGCCCGCGGCTGAGAGCCTTTTCGCAGGACTGCACTATCTTGCGGTAGCCAGCACCATTCTTTTTCCGAATCTCTTCCATGCGCGTGGGATCCTGTATGTCACCGAAAAGGACCTCATCTGTACCCCACGTATGAGACAGGATGGCGTATTTTTCGGACCCCTCTTCTAAGCTCTCGAGCTGTAGCGTCTTGGTATTGAGAAGTCTCATAATTGCTTGCGAATCAGAAAGTGAGACAGGAAAATAAAAATAGGACAGACAGGTGAGATTGGTAGGCAAGCAAACATCAAGTTCGTCAAGCCATAAAGAGGTGATAATTGTGGTGGAGCACTTTCATGCTCTACTGCCTCTCCAGCCTGTGTCCGTGTCTGTGTCAGTGTCAGTGTCCGTCCGTACTAAGGGCCGTTTCAGTTCAGCCTCCTGCTGCTCTGTTGGCTGCTGGTCCAGGCGAGACGCGAAAGAAGAGAAGGCCTAGTCTAGGCCCAGTTCAGGGCCATACGAGGCGAAGCTCAAGCGAGTCACAGGCTTAAATTCCCTAGGGTTGCGGGTTGAGAGACCAATGAAATGTGTCAGAATCCCTGTGGCGAATCTCGTATGAATAAGATACAGTAGTAAGCTGCCGTTGGTTCTGTTCTGCTTCTGTTCATTCATCCGAGGCATAATGAGAGGTTGGGCAGATGCAAAAAAACGGTCAGATATTTCAAGTCAACTCGAGAACGCCAGCGCTGGTTCAAAAGAGTGCAAGCTTAAATCCTATAAATGCATGCGTCGAGTCAGTCATAATTGGGCGTTAGGATGGGAATAAAGACGGACGTGCATGGATACCTAGGTAGATATGACACGTGATGTCACCTTTAACACAGTGAAACCCCATGGGTTCATGCAATTCTTCACAGCTGGCTTGTGTATAGACCAAATTGTGATTTTGAACTCATAACTAATCTGGAATGATTCTACTGATAAACTAAGGAGCGGTTTTTACCCAAAATAACTTGAACCCGTTCAACTTCTGTTTCTGGTTCCGCTTCCGCTTTCAATCACCAGGTTTGCGCCAACTATGTTTAACAAAGCCCGTTTCTAAGAATAAACTGCTAATCCTTGCGCCGCTTGAACCGAGCATAACAAATCATGAAGCCTCGTAAGAGCATTTCCCATGCATGTGCCTTTCCATACCGATCCAGTTTCTCCAAGACGTGATTCTTCGCTTAATCAATTTTGGCGTTGGCCAAACTTCGGGCCGCTGGGTTGCTGAGATTGTTCACAGGCTTCACACCTCGGTATTTGCCCTGCTTTCGGAGACGCTTTCGTGCCACCATCACAGGGACCGAGCTCTTCGTCACCAGATAGTTGGAAAATGATCCCAGAATGACACTGTCTACTGTTAGCTGCTGTCATTGCC